ACCCTTCGATACATACAACTGTCAAAATATGCAATGACAGTCGCTCACGAAGTAAACGCTGACGGAACCTAGGTAAGTATACATTGCAATCAACATTCTTATGTTATCGAAGTTCACGCTGTTATCTGGCACATCTAACACGATACGATCTCTAAAAGAAGACAATGAATAAAGAAAAAAAACAACTAAAGAAAAATCAAGGATGCAAGAGGTAAATAACTTTATATTTTATTTATATTTTAACGCACACACGAGAGAGAGAGAGAGAGAGAGAGAGAGAGAGAGACATTGAAATTTTATTTTTATTATGTGTTTTTAGGACGCTGGTTCCAGTGGGGACGAATTCGGTACATCTCTAGACTTGGAGATTACCAGAATCGAGGTTGAAGAATTGAAAAAACAGTTAGCTGCAGCAAAGCAGGCTCTTGCTGCAGCTACTCCTAAACCTTCGACTTCAAAAGGGCCTCCTGTTCATGTTCCGAGTGCTCAACCATCGCAACCACCACAGCCTGCAGTGGTGGTTGAAGATGACATAAAAGATCATACACAACGTAAGTATATTATTTAAAAAATTAAAAATAACATGTAAATATATGTTTTTATTTTTAAATATTATTTCTTTTTCAGTAAAAGATAGACCCGCTCGATGGTCGCGAGCTGGTCGCCAACGTGGTCGCGGACGTGGTCGCGGACGTGGTCGCGGACGTGGCCGCGGAAATATAATTTATATAAATATGTAATAGAGAAAACAAGCCGAAATAAAGTTTCTTTTATCTAATACAATTATTTATTACTCAATAAACAATACATTTTTATATTTATAACAAACGTTTTGATAATTTAATCGACATCGAGAAAACAAATTGATTGCTCTAATCGTCTCCGTTAGCTATTCGCTCATCTAAATTATCTTGTTCTGAATGCAAGGCTGTAGATTTCAATTTATCGAAATTTGCTTGAAAATTTTCACTTAAAATCCATTTTTATCGGCATATTATAAGATATCACAGATCAATGGTGATTCAACTCCTAGATCATATTCACATGTTTTGGGTAACAAAAAAATAATGATACACTAGATGCGCTTGCAGTATGGTTCTCAACACATTTCAATTTTACCTAAAATGAAGAAATCATGTAAAATTATTCAACACAATATGATATTTAGATGTCATTTTTAGTTTAACTTATAAAAATAATTTTTAAATTTATAATAATGCATACTTCAGTTTGCATAAAAGCTTCAGTCTTATCGCAGCTACTTCCATCACTATAAAAGTGTGAGAGGTGTTTTTTTAACTCTAACGGTTTGGGTTTCTTGTGTGGATGTGCGGCAATCCACTCTAAATGCTTCTGTTTGTCAAATCTACCGAGATTGACGATTGTTTTCGTACCATCTCTTTCTATGTGATATTGTACAACAGAACGGCCATAACAGAATTCATACTTCCACCAGCCATTACCCTATTAACATATTAAAATATTAAAAATATATTTAATAAAAACGAAAAAAAATAGTTATTATGAATACTTACCCCATGCAAGCAATTCTTTCCACTGAGGAAACTCTGAACAGGACTAACTTCAGCAGGACTAATATTCTGATCACTCATCGCACCTATAGATTCATCACCATTGCCCTGCTTATCCATAACATCCAGTGGATGTATCTCAACCCTTACTCTTGGCTCGCTATCCTGTAATCAATTCATTACAATTTTCTACTCAATTAAAAAATTATTCTTATATATGCCATACTATTGTTACTATGTAACATAATAATGATAGTAAGGATATATATATTATTGCAAAATTGATGTTATTACATTTTATTCGATACTATTGTTAATATGTAACAATAATGATAGTAAGGATATATATTATTGCATAGGATATGTAATACTGGTAATGTGAGGATAAGAAATTATATCTAACAATGCAACAACTTTTCAAATCGCACAGATTTACCCTCACTTGTTGTTGATGTCGCGTTTTTATACTTTCCAGTTCCATCAACATAAGTGACTTTGGTTTCTTTGGTGCATTATCGACAGGTTGACATGTAATTTCATTTTCTCAAGTGTCTTGTGGTTTGTAATCTGGATGACTGCACAGTACTGGTGAAAGCACTATCGCTTCATATTCACAAGTCATTGTTTCCTTACTGTGCAACAAATAATTAAGACAGTAAATAAATAGCAAATAAATTAGGATAGTGATTAAAACTAAAAAGTAACGAAATAATCTTTTGCATAATTCTATCACACTTTTTAAAGAATTATTAAAGCCTAATTAAAGAAAGATGTACGTATATTAGTTATCTACAGATATATATATAGTGGATAGAAGCAGTTTCCTATATTGTTCTATTGAGTTTTCAAAACATATGAGGTTACTGATATATTTTTAGTATGCTATACAAATCTGCTATTAATATATAAGTATTTTTACAACTCTTCTCAATTTTAACATTAATAAAAATTGAAGACAATTACTATTAATACAGAAAAAAAATACATCAAATGATACTTAAAGATAAAAAATAAGCAAAAATAGGAAAGATAGAATCTGCAAGTTTTAAATATTTATCGCACAGATTTACCCTCACTTGTTGTTGATGTCGCGTTTTTATACTTTCCAGTTCCATCAACATAAGTGACTTTGGTTTCTTTGGTGCATTATCGACAGGTTGACATGTAATTTCATTTTCTCCAGTGTCTTGTGGTTTGTAATCTGGATAACTGCACAGTACTGGTGAAAGCACTATCGCTTCATATTCACAAGTCATTGTTTCCTTCCTGTGCAACAAATAATTAAGACAGTAAATAAATAGCAAATAAATTAGAATAGTGCTTAAAATTGAAAAGTAAAGAAATAATCTATTGCATAATTCACACTTTTTAAAGAATTATTAAAGCCTAATTAAAGAAAGATGTACGTATATTAGTTTTCTACAGATATATATATAGTGGATAGAAGCAGTTTCCTATATTGTTCTATTGAGTTTTCAAAAAATATGAGATTACTGATATATTTTTTAGTATGCAATACAAATCTGCTATTAATATATAAGTATTTTTACAACTCTTCTCAATTTTAACATTAATAAGAATTGAAGACAATTACTATTAATACATGACAGAAAAAATATACATCAAATGAAATAAGCAAAAATAGGAAGAATCTGCATGTATTGAATATTTATCGCACAGATTTATATTATACATATAAAAATATAATAAAATAATTACCTGATTTTTATAAACATCACATATCACATCAATACACTTTCTGCTGCTTGTCATCCTGTGCAACAAATAAATAAGACAGTAAATAAATAGCAAATAAATTAGGATAGTGCTTAAAACTAAAAAGTAACGAAATAATCTTTTGCATAATTCTATCACACTTTTTAAAGAATTATTAAAGCCTAATTAAAGAAAGATGTACGTATATTAGTTATCTACAGATATATATATAGTGGATAGAAGCAGTTTCCTATATTGTTCTATTGAGTTTTCAAAAATATGAGGTTACTGATATATTTTTTAGTATGCAATACAAATCTGCTATTAATATATAAGTATTTTTACAACTCTTCTCAATTTTAACATTAATAAAAATTGAAGACAATTACTATTAATACAGAAAAAAAATACATCAAATGATACTTAAAGATAAAAATAAGCAAAAATAGGAAAGATAGAATCTGCAAGTTTTAAATATTTATCGCACAGATTTACCCTCACTTGTTGTTGATGTCGCGTTTTTATACTTTCCAGTTCCATCAACATAAGTGACTTTGGTTTCTTTGGTGCATTATCGACAGGTTGACATGTAATTTCATTTTCTCCAGTGTCTTGTGGTTTGTAATCTGGATAACTGCACAGTACTGGTGAAAGCACTATCGCTTCATATTCACAAGTCATTGTTTCCTTCCTGTGCAACAAATAATTAAGACAGTAAATAAATAGCAAATAAATTAGAATAGTGCTTAAAATTGAAAAGTAAAGAAATAATCTATTGCATAATTCACACTTTTTAAAGAATTATTAAAGCCTAATTAAAGAAAGATGTACGTATATTAGTTTTCTACAGATATATATATAGTGGATAGAAGCAGTTTCCTATATTGTTCTATTGAGTTTTCAAAAAATATGAGATTACTGATATATTTTTTAGTATGCAATACAAATCTGCTATTAATATATAAGTATTTTTACAACTCTTCTCAATTTTAACATTAATAAGAATTGAAGACAATTACTATTAATACATGACAGAAAAAATATACATCAAATGAAATAAGCAAAAATAGGAAAGAATCTGCATGTATTGAATATTTATCGCACAGATTTATATTATACATATAAAAATATAATAAAATAATTACCTGATTTTTATAAACATCACATATCACATTAATACACTTTCTGCTGCTTGTCATCCTGTGCAACAAATAAGTAAGACAGTAAATAAATAGCAAATAAATTAGGATAGTGCTTAAAACTAAAAAGTAACGAAATAATCTTTTGCATAATTCTATCACACTTTTTAAAGAATTATTAAAGCCTAATTAAAGAAAGATGTACGTATATTAGTTATCTACAGATATATATATAGTGGATAGAAGCAGTTTCCTATATTGTTCTATTGAGTTTTCAAAAAATATGAGGTTACTGATATATATTTTTTAGTATGCAATACAAATCTGCTATTAATATATAAGTATTTTACAACTCTTCTCAATTTTAACATTAATAAAAATTGAAGACAATTACTATTAATACAGAAAAAAATACATCAAATGATACTTAAAGATAAAAAATAAGCAAAAATAGGAAAGATAGAATCTGCAAGTTTTAAATATTTATCGCACAGATTTACCCTCACTTGTTGTTGATGTCGCGTTTTTATACTTTCCAGTTCCATCAACATAAGTGACTTTGGTTTCTTTGGTGCATTATCGACAGGTTGACATGTAATTTCATTTTCTCAGTGTCTTGTGGTTTGTAATCTGGATAACTGCACAGTACTGGTGAAAGCACTATCGCTTCATATTCACAAGTCATTGTTTCCTTCCTGTGCAACAAATAATTAAGACAGTAAATAAATAGCAAATAAATTAGAATAGTGCTTAAAATTGAAAAGTAAAGAAATAATCTATTGCATAATTCACACTTTTTAAAGAATTATTAAAGCCTAATTAAAGAAAGATGTACGTATATTAGTTTTCTACAGATATATATATAGTGGATAGAAGCAGTTTCCTATATTGTTCTATTGAGTTTTCAAAAAATATGAGATTACTGATATATTTTTTAGTATGCAATACAAATCTGCTATTAATATATAAGTATTTTTACAACTCTTCTCAATTTTAACATTAATAAGAATTGAAGACAATTACTATTAATACATGACAGAAAAAATATACATCAAATGAAATAAGCAAAAATAGGAAAGAATCTGCATGTATTGAATATTTATCGCACAGATTTATATTATACATATAAAAATATAATAAAATAATTACCTGATTTTTATAAACATCACATATCACATTAATACACTTTCTGCTGCTTGTCATCCTGTGCAACAAATAAGTAAGACAGTAAATAAATAGCAAATAAATTAGGATAGTGCTTAAAACTAAAAAGTAACGAAATAATCTTTTGCATAATTCTATCACACTTTTTAAAGAATTATTAAAGCCTAATTAAAGAAAGATGTACGTATATTAGTTATCTACAGATATATATATAGTGGATAGAAGCAGTTTCCTATATTGTTCTATTGAGTTTTCAAAAAATATGAGGTTACTGATATATATTTTTTAGTATGCAATACAAATCTGCTATTAATATATAAGTATTTTTACAATTCTTCTCAATTTTAAAATTAATAAAAATTGAAGACAATTATTACTATTAATATAAAGATAAAAATAAGCAAAAATAGGAAAGAAAAATCTTTAACAATTTGTTTTTTAGTATATTATACATATAAAAATATAATAATAAAATAATTACCTGATTTTTATAAATTTCTTTTTCCATCACATCACATCAAATCACATCATCACATCAAAATTCAAAATTCAAAATCAAAAAACGTCAATCTGACATCTGACACACAACCTAACATCATGGATCATGGAGCGACATACTATCGCCGTCTGTTGTAAAACGTGCGAAATGGACATTTCCAATACATGCATCATTGCATGTGTTGTGTACGTGTGCGCATGTGTTGTATACGTGTGAATACGTATAGCACGATACTACTATGTTTGCGTGGTCGTTGATGACGGAGACGTTTCTTAAAAGAAATTTTTCATATTTCGACTTTGCATTTATATATCTCTGCTTACAAATCACGTAGAGCAGAAATAAAGACACTTTTATTATATAATTCGAACTCAATCTATCGATTAAGTCTAGTATAAACTCGATTGCTTCAGCCGTTATTGAGGATTCGAAATTTATAATAGACTCAAATGTCCGACTCGCGTTAAGATACACGGTGTCTCGGCTACGCCCTTAACTGGTCGCGAGACACTACCGTGTCTCTTGATACCGCGGAAGTGACGAACCGCGGGGTCCTCATCTCTACTGCAACACATGTACAAGTACACACACGCATACACACATGCACATACTCTGACATATGAGGTGTAAATCCGACCGGCAACCTCCACGCGGTACACCTCGGGTAATGCTAATGCCGGCGGTAATATATTAAATAAAAAATATTAATAAAATGTTTATTAATTTAAAAAATTTTTCCCTTCTTCTTTCCTTATAGAAAAAATATGTAAAAACTAATGTAAAAAAATATGAATAAAAAAAGTAATGAATAAAATATATATTTTATTAAAATAAAAAAAATGTTTTTCCTCCTCTCCTTCACATCCCTCGCCGCAACATCTCTCTCTCGCAAAATCCAGGCTTGGATCTCTCTCGTTCACCGTCGCATCTCTCACCGTCGCATCTCTCGCCGCCGTATCCAGGCTTGGATCTCTCTCGCCGTCGCCTCTCTCGCCGCCGTATCCAGGCTTGGATCTCTCTCGCCGCAGGCCCGAGCCGCCGACTCTCTCGCAAAATCCAGGCTTGGATCTCTCTCGTTCACCGTCGCCTCTCTCACCGCCGTATCTCTCGCCGCCACATCCAGGCTTGGATCTCTCTCGCCGCCGCGCGCTACCTCTCTCTCTCGCTCCGACGGGAGAGCTCGTATACCGCCGCGCGCTGAATCCAGGCTTGGATCTCTCTCTCTTGCTCTGACTGCGCGCTGAATCCAGGCTTGGATCTCCTTCTCTCTCGAATGTGTGCATCTCTCTTACTCTCGCGTGCGCCTCGTATGATAAAATTATCGATTTTTTTTCGCTAAATGCATTGTCCTTGACACAATAATTATATCTCGCAAAGTATGTAACGGGTGGCGCGCAAATAAAGTACACCATGATATATACATATAAGTATTTATTCGTCTTATATTTAATACATAATTATGTAGTTTTATTACATATTAAAAACTAAAGCCACCAGCTCGCAATCGACAAGTTGGTGCATGTTGAAGGCATTGCTAGCGCGTATCGCATTCGACAATTCTCTCGCATTCGTTACAGTGGATGCAATATTGGAGAATTGAGTATATTTGATATCAACCGTTGCGACGAGCCTCGTCAATCGATCGTACATTATTTCGATACATGAATCGAGCTCGAACATACGATGTAACGTCGATTCGACCATCATCATGCGCACGTCCGCTGATTCGAGACTTATGAGCTTGGTGCCGTTTATCTTGTGAAATCGCACTGTTAGCGGCCCGACACTTATGCAATTATACACATCGTTGTTGGAGGAGGAGTCATTATTCAGGTAATTGTGAATAGCGTGGCGTTGCTCGTAGAGTCCTTTCCACGTTTCGAGAGATAGTAATAGCTGTTTTCCCCGATGATCTCCTATGGCGATCTCCACGTAACTCGGCGGATCCACTCTGATGCCGATTTCGAGGAATTTGAATTCCGTTGCCGTCAATGCGTATCGTCTTCCAAGTATACGAACCGCACGAGGCTCCAGCGAAACGCTGTAAAAAAATTCGGAAAAAAAAAATTAAAACTAAATTAGGAAAAAAGAAATTATAACTCATAAAAAAATATAGAATATAGAAAAAATATAAAATAAAATTAAAAATATAAAATAAAATTAAAAATATAAAAAAATAAAAAAAGTTATACTTACTCGTCGCATTTCTTCTCGCACGTTTCTTCATGTCTCGGCATGTAGTAATTCATGCTGCTGCTGCTGCTTCTTTGAACCGAGGGTATTAAAAAGTGAACCGTCAGTTAGAACGGTCGACGAAAGACTGCTTGTATAATAAGGTACTAATAATCGAGTAACGGTCATTTTTAAAATATTAGGAGAAGGGGATTCTTAGAAATATATCTGGAGGGAAAGAACAAAGAGAAATATTTAAAATATTAGGAGAGGGGGATTCTTAGAAATATATCTGGAGGGAAAGACAAATTATTAAAAGTAGTGGGGGGTAAAAGAAATTCTTAGAAATACGATTGCGTGAGAAATTTTAAAAGTAGTGGGGGTAAAAGGAATTCTTAAAATACGATTGCGTGAGAAATATTTAAAATATTAGGAGAAAGGAATTCTTAGAAATATCTGGTTAGGAAAAATAATAAAGAGAATAGTATGTAAATAATATGTTTATTCAAAAAACGGATGATCGTCGCGATTAGCCGACCACCAATTGAATAATTTAAATACATTTTGTAACGCGCAATTTTTTACATGTTTATTACATCGTAGAGTATATGTGGGATCTAATTTATTTAATGCAGGCACATCTTCATATATGGCATCCAAGGTCTCAATCATGAAACCGCTGCACGCATCGTCCACTATTTCGGCAAGCCACTCTCGCTTTTCAAGTCCTTTTACATACACGAGAGAGGACTCTTCTTCTTCCTCCTCGTCTTGTTCATTTATGCCATTGATAGCTGCCGTGATCAAGCGCTGAGCCATGCAGTATGGAACATTTCCATCCTCCCATTGCAAGCTGTGATGATGCTGAGTTATCCATGAGGCCTGGCGCCTTTCCGACTTTATAAGCACGCTCCACGGCACAGGGCATGCGAAGAAATAGTGTGACATGATATATCCTCTTCTCAGGATTGCCGCTTCCTTCACGATAAATCGCTTGTTTAGGATAAATCCTTGCAGGTCGACAAACGTTGGTGCGGACATGATCTCTTCGATGTGAGTCAGTCGAGAGGTATTACTTCACTAACATCAGACATCTCGCATCATCATGATTATGTATCCTCCTCCCCCCTCCCTCACACGCGTAGTTGTGTAAACATTTTTTAGGTGATTTTGCGCACAACGTTGGTCAACGGGTTGTACTGGATCACGCGATCGTGCATGATGAGGCAGTACGCAGTGGTATTATTAGGTATATTCTCCTTACACTCAAATTCCAATCTCACATCCACCGTTGCGCTCTTGACCGATTCGTTTTGTCGAGAACAATCGATAATCACAAACGGACCGTTTTGTAAAAACCGTGTGATGGTGAGGCTCGGCTCGAGATACTCGTATCCGTAATAATTTTTGCAGAAACGCGCATACGTGTCATACAGAATCGACCATCTGTTTCTATCGAAATCCAGATTCATATCGTCGTACGGATAACATTCCGAGTTCAGATAGAGTTTCACGTTGGTTAATTTACAGTTGTCGAATCGACTCGTATCCTCGGACATGACATTTTTACGCCCTGTCTGCAGAGCAAAAATTACATATCGCGGCTTCTCCAGTTGAGTCGCGGTCTTAATGGCCCACGAATGCTTGGTCGTACGCTGCAATAGCGGAAATTCGTATAGATCCCACGAGCGGAAACCCATGCTGAGGTAACGTCCGCTTTCCAGAGCGCGCAGCATCGACAGCTTCTTAATCTCGCTCAACAACACGTGTGGCATTCGCCATTGTATCTTGAATATGTTGATCACAGGCTCCAGTGCAGAATTTCCATACAGACAATTATTGTCGTTGCGCGCTCGTATTAGGATCAACTCATGACGCGCATTAATAACCACGCGTTTGTAATCCTCGCAAAATCCCAGCAACATGTGCAGCGGTACGCAAAAATTAAAGTATCCATTCACAGTAGTCGGGCTATCCCAGCCTGCATTTCGCATAATCACGCTTCTATCGGATGACATTGTCACATAGTTTTTCAGCAGACTTGTTATTCCCACATTCCTGTTGCGATCAATCTCCACACCATCGAGCTCGTAGCGAATTTCGTCAAACATGAATGCGACGCAATTATTTCCCAGCATCACATTGGATCCCTCAACTGGATGAGTTATCCGCAGTTCACCCTCGATGTAGAGGAAACTCTCATACGGCAACGTATATAAATCCTGTTGTTGTATGGGTATTCTTATCTCGTCGCTGTATCCAAATGTTGTGTTGGCAAACGGGTTGTATGTGTGAGTCTCAAGTACACCATACTATTGTCCGTTAGACCGTATCTTAAGAACCTATTATAACTATTATATATAATTATAATATTTTGGTTATATAAATGTGTATACTCTAAAAGTTTTGTAAATACTACGTAATTTTAATGACATAATTGTAACGTTATGTTAAATATGTAACATTAATATTATTTTGTTGATATCAATGTATATATTCTTTAAAAACCTTATTATAACTATTATATATAATTATAATATTTTGGTTAATATAAATGTGTATACTCTAAAAGTTTCGTAAATACTACGTAATTTTAATGACATAATTGTAACGTTATGTTAAATATGTAACATTAATATTATTTTGTTGATATCAATGTATATATTCTTTAAAAACCTTATTATAACTATTATATAATTATAATAACGAAATTGCGATGTCACATTAAATAAAAAAAATATCGCAATTTTGTTATTATACTGTATGTAATGATTATAATAAAGTTTTTACAGAATGTATACATTGATGTCACAAAATAATGTTACGTATTTAATATAACGTTACAATTAGTTATTAGAATTATGTAGCATTTACGAAACTTTTAGAGTATACACATTTATATTAACAAAATACATAAACGTTACGTATTTAACATAATGTTACAATTATGTCATTAAAATTACGTAGTATTTACGAAACTTT